TGGTGTGATTCTAGAACTCTATAATAGAGAGATGTATACAAGAATAGACCAAAAAAAAAGAGAATAGACAGCTCAAGAATATGCCTGATGATGCATTTGTAAATAAGTGTGTTATGAGGGAGGCATTACAGATCACTGCTGAAAAGATCTATTATCAAATAAACATTGGGGAGAATAATTGGTTAACTTACTATGAAATTTTCTTTGTAGTTGTTTTTTAATTATTCTTAACTACTGGGCATTAAAATTTTCCTGTTTCATTTAATATAAATAATCCAAACTTTATGGTTTAAAGTCAAACCAGAAAAATATCTAAAAATACAGATATAGCGATACACATTTTAAAAATTTCAGGGCCTTTTAAGTTTAAAAGCAGAAGGACATGCCAAAGAAAGATATTTAGACTTATTAAAAAAAGATATTTTAGATAATTAATGGATGAAAATTTCCTGAGCATGATAAAAAGCATGAACTTAGATATCACAGAAGCTCTGCAAACCCCAAGCAGGATAAGTAAAAATGAAATCTCATCAAGACATATTAACGCGAAAGTGCTATTTTCCAATGTTTTAAATTACTATGTTTCTTCCCAACCTCTTTCAGGTGATTATGTTATTCATTTGCAACAAAATTATCATTTGGCGGGTGGAATGTGAAACATTACCATGGTTCTAAGAGTCAGAATTACAAAAAGGTATACTCAGAAAAGTGTCCTTCTCCCTCATCTCTTCTACCAATCCCATTTCCTATTCTTTCTGCCCTGTTCCCACCCATTCTCTACAGGTAAACAATGTCATTAGTTTCTGGTTTACTCTATAGGTTTATTCTGTATTTTTGCACAAATGAATATGTGTATGTGTGTATATATTAAATATATGTATATGTTTATATATATAACATATGTATATACTTTTATAGATACATATATAATCTCATATCAGGGAAGGATTTCTTAAACAGAATACAGAAAGCATTAACCATAAAGGAAAACAAATGAACTGCATGAAAAGAAAGAATGTCTCTTCATCAAGACAGCATTTAATGATTGGAGGACAAAGCCAAAGACTGGGAGAAGATATTGTAGTTCATTTATTTAAAAAAGACTCGCATTTAGAACAGTTAGGGCTGGGTGCAGTGGCTCATGCCTGTAATCCCAGCACCTTGGGAGGCCAAGGCAGGTGGATCACTTGAGGCCAGGAGTTCAAGAGAAGCCTGGCCAACCTGGTGAAACCCCATCTCTGTTGAAAATATAAAAATTAGCTGGGCATGATGGCAGTTGCCTGTAAATCCAGCTACTCGAGAGGCTGAGGCATGAGAATCACTTGAACCTGGGCAGTGGGGAGGTTGCAGTGAGCCAAGGTCATGCCACTGCACTCCAGCCCGGGCAACAGAGCAAGAGTCTGTCTCAAAAAAATAAAATAAGAATAGTTAGAAAACTCTTCCAAATTTATAAGAAAAAGACAGATAACCCAATAGAAAAATGGACAAAAAACAGGAACAGGCACTTCACTACATGACATCTCCACGTGACCAACAAACATACAAAAAGGTGAGCAACTTGGCTGGGAGCAGTGGCTCCTACCTGTCATCCCAGCACTTTGGGAGGCTGAGGCAGGCAGAACACCTGAGGTCAGGAGTTTGAGACCAGCCTGGCTGATGTTGGTGAAATCCCATCTCTACTAAAAATGCAAAAATGGGTGTGGCGGCACATGCCTGTAGTCCCAGCTACTCAGGAGGCTGAGGCAGGAGAGTCACTTGAACCTGGGAGAGAGAGTCTGTAGTGAGCTGAGATTGCACCACTGCACTCCAGCCTGGGGGACAGAGTGAGACTCTGTCTCAAAAAATAAAAGAAAAAAGAAGGTGAACAACTTACTGCTCACAGGGAAATGAAAACTAAAGCTGAAATACCACTACATACTCACCAGAATGACTAAAATGAAAATAATCTACTATTGCAAGTGTTGGTGATGATATGGAAGAACTGAACTGGTGAGAGTATAGCTTGTTAACAACCATCCTGTAAAAATGTCTGCCAGTATGTAATAAAACTGAACAGGTATAAACCCTATAACCCAAAACTTCTATCCCTGGATTGTGGTACATTTTTATGGTAATGGCTCCCCAAGGATTCATGCCTCCCTGTGTCCACATCCCTTTCTACTGTAATACTGCCACTCCTCCCAGCAAGAGATGGATATTTCTTTAACCCCTCTGAATTCACGGTTGGCCTTGGGACTTGTTTTAACCAATAGAGTATGGCAGACTGATTTCCCAGAGTTCTAGCACATAGGCCTTAAGAGACCCTGCAGCTTTTTGCCCTCTTGGACCCAGCCATCAATAAAGAAGCCCAGAAGAGCCTACTGGACAGACAGGCGGCATGAGAAGAAGAGAGGTAACCAAGTTTTTTTGTTTGTTTGTTTTTGAGATGGAGTCTTACTCTGTCACCCAGGCTGGAGTAAAGTAGCACGATCTCAGTTCACTGCAACCTCTGCCTCTCAGGTTCAAGCGATTCTTGTGCCCCAGTCTCCTGAATAGCTTGGATTACAAGTGCATACCAACACATTCAGCTAATTTTTGTATTTTTACTACAGATGGGGTTTTGCCATGTTGGCCAGGCTGGTCTTGAACTCCTGACCTCAGGTGATCTACCTGCCTTGGCCTCCCAAAGTGCTGGGAGTACAGGCATGAGTTACTGCACCTGGCTGAGAGGTAACCAAGTTAATAGCTAATACCAAAGTCCTAGACATGTGATTAAAACCATGTGATGTTTCCTGCACAGTCCAGCTAGATGAGTGAGCTTGACTGATAACACACGGAACAGAGGAAAGTTGTTCCCAGCAAGCCCTGTTCAAATGCCTGACCCACAGAATCACAGGCAATAAAATGGCTGTTGTTTTTAAGCCATTAAATGTGGGGGTGGTTTGTTAGGTAGCAACAGATAACGAAAAATGAGTATACAGCAAAAGAAATGCATACATATTTTACCAAAAGGGACATGTACAAGAATGTACATGGCACCACCATTTAAATCACCAATCTGAACACAACCTGAATGCCCATACACAATCGAATGGATCAGTTATGGTATATCAGTAAAATGGAATATTATTCAGCAATAAAAATGCCAAATTACAAGGATGATTCTCACAAATGTAATGATGAGCAAAAGAAGCCAGACTCAGGGCCAGGCACAGTGACTCATGCCTGTAATCCCAGCACTTTGGGAGGCTGAGGCCGGGAAATCACTTGAGGTAAGGAGTTTGGGACCAGCCTGGCCATCGTGGTGAAACCCTGCCTCTACTAAGGATACAAAAATTAGACAGGTGTGGTGGCAAATGCCTGTAATCCCAGCTACTTGGGAAGCTGAGGCAGGAGAATCACTAGAACCTGGGAGGTGGAGGTTGTAGCCAGCTGAGATTGTGCCACTGCACTCCAGCCTGGGCAACAGAGCGAGACTCCATCTCTACAACAACAACAACAACAACAACAACAAAACATTAAAAAAAAAAAAAAAGCCAGACTCAATTGAGCATATACCATATGCTTCCATTTATATAAAGAAGTTCAAAGACTAATCTAGGGTGTAGAAGTCAAGAAAGTAGTTATGCGATGAAGTGGGGGTTGGGGAGTGCTACAAGAAGGCAGGATGGGAAGCTTCTGTGGCTCTGATCATGTATTATTTCTTGTTCCAGGTGCCGGTTACACGGATGTGTTTACTTTGAGAAAATGTACTGAGTCATATAATTTGTATACTTTCCTGTAATGTATGTTATACTTCCAATAAAAGTTTGTATAAGAAGATTAAACCACTGTCCCCTTCTTTAATAAAAGTATTTTCTTGTATTTTAAAATCACCTACGAATTTTTTAAAAATGCAGATTAAAAAAACACAGTCTGAGTAAACATCTCTGGGCTGGAACCCAGCCATCTGTGGCTCTGAAACTCCGTATGTGATTCTGATGAAGTAAACCTGGGTTGAAGTATTAGGTCATTAGCAGAAAGTGCTGTTTTATTTCATCACTTTCATATTTCCTCTCAAAAACATCTTTGCCAAAGAATATGAAGCATAAACAACTGTCTTCGAATTGCAGCTATCTAAAAGAATAAATGGCAAAGTACCCACTTCCACCCACTCCCCACTCCTTAGGTTTGGCTATTTCACCATTCAGAAAGCTTCTACAGATCATTAAATGCTTTAATTAGTTTCATACATATGCACTTAGCTCAAATCATGCCCATTAAAACACCATTCTTTTACCACTTCACTTTGAAGAGTACTTACCAGATTATTTAAAAGATGCTCCTAGATGCCATACACATTTTAATGACAGCAAAAAAAAAAAAAAAGTGATTGGCCCAAATTAAAGCAAAATGAGCCTTTAAGTCTGGGATCTGCCTTGAGATAATAACAGGCAGATCTTAATTTGCAGGAGAAATACATAGTTGTAAAAAATTATAATTTTGAAGTCATTTTTGAACTACAACTCCATTGCCTGTCTCTGCTTCAGAATGACTAGATTATGGATAGACAGACAGAGAGAGAGATAAAAGAGAGGAGAGAGAGGACAGAAAACAGACACGATGGCTCCAACTGTTTAATCTGCCATTTTCCCCAGATCTGCTGCATGAAATACTCAAAATATTTTAATCTCTCAGCACAAAAGTTTTGTGGATGAAAAATAAGGCTCCCTCTGCTAAGCTCCTGTTGTGCACTGGTAGACTGTAGTTCAGAGAAGGCATTCAGCAAGTGGAATATTGAATGAATTCGAATTCAGTTTTTGGAAAAGTGAAAAAATTAAATGGCCAATTTAGTTGACACCATCCAGAGAAGGAAAAAGGCCACTTGAACCAATGTGCCAGTTCTTGAGTGTCACATAAACAAAAGAGGAAGGCATCTTTTAAATTTCTTAGTGTTCTCCCATCTTCAGAATTTACAGCTCTTGATGAGGACAGTTCAATATTTAATGACTACTTTTGAAAAGACTAGACTTTTTACTTACCTATCTCTTCCTTACGTATATGTTTGTAGTTTTCCAACATGAAGGTAAAGAAGTTGCATAACTGGACAAAATAAAAATACATTAATCAATGAATGAACGCCAAACAGCCACTGTGGCAAATGCTGTTGGTGTTCCACCTGAGTGCCCTTACTCTTCTGGAGCATTCCTATCCCAGCTGTTGCAGGTGCTAAGGGTCACATCTATGACTGCCTCCAGAGGACTGCCTGCATCCCAAGCAACACAGGAAAACACATGAACACCCCTCCTGTGGGGCTGCCCATAGACCACCACTGGCTGAAGTAAGGGTGTAACGGCCCATTCCCCACCTCCCTTGCCTCTGCCAGGGACAAACTGTAGTGCATCGTACACTTGACAGCTCCAGATGGGATCAGGCTGAGGTCAGACTTCAAAAAGTGTATCTTGGCCTAGCTTCTTCCCTGTCCTGTCTTGCATTCCTCACTCCCTTACAAGCTTTCCCTGAAAACACACCCTCAGTAAGTCACTTGTACCAGAATCTCTGTCTCAGCCTCTGCTTCTAGGAAACCCAACCTAAGACAGCTACTAAATTTTGTTCATTATAATCTCTTCTTTCATTTTTGGTGGTGAGATTAAGAGTTAAGGAATATTTTTAAATATCAAATATGTTTTGGAGATAAAGGAAGGGAAAGGTGGAAATCCACCAGCATTCTAGCCATGATCTGGGTACTGGCTCTATGACCACCAGAGAGCTGCGTTTGTACAACACAAATAACTTCTTTTTCAAGGCTGGCCTCTCATGAAAAGTAAACACTTTATCAATCTGGGGTAGATCTGGCAGTTGGGAACCAAGAGAAGAAAGACTTTCCATACAATTATCAAAATGTACGATTTTAATGCTGTTGATGATGAGTTTGTCAATTAACAGTCAATAGAAATGAAAATGAGATATCAGTTCACACCCACTATGAGAGCTATAATCAAAAAGAGACAATAACAAGGGTTGCCAAAGATGTGAAGAAACTGGAGCCCTCATCCACTGCTGGTGGGAAGGCAAAATGATGGAGCTGCTTTAGAACACAGTTTGGCAGCTCCTCAAAAAGTTAAGCACAAAGTTATTATATTACACAGCAATTTCATTCATAGGTCTATAACCAAGAGAACTGTAAACATCTTCACACTAAAACTTGCATACAAATGTTCACAGCAGCGCTATTCATAATAGCCAAAAGGTGGAAACAACCCAAATGATCCATCACCTGAGGAAAAGATTAACAAAATGTGGTCCATCTATACAATGGAATATTATTCAGCCATAAAAAGGAATGAAGTCTTGATACATGCTACAACACAGGTGAATTTTGAAAGCACTATGCTAAGTAAAAGAAGCCAGGCCGGGTGCAGTGGCTCACATCTGTAATCCCAGCACTTTGGGAGGCCAAGACGGGTAAATCACAAGGTCAAGAGATTGAGACCGTCCTGGCCAACATGGTAAAACCCCGTCTCTACTAAATATACAAAAATTAGCTGGGTGTGGTAGCATGCACCTGTAGTCCCAGCTACTTGGGAGGCTGAGGCAGGAGAATTGCTTGAACCCAGGAGGCAAAGGTTGCAGTGAGCTGAGATCACACCACTGCACTCCAGCCCAGGCAACAAGAGCAAGACTCTGTCTCAAAAAAAAGAAAGAAACCAGACACAAAAGACCACATACTATATGATTCCATTTATATGAAATGGCCTGAATAGGCAAATCCATAGAGATAGAAAATAGATTAGTGGTTGCCAGGGACTGGGGGAAGGAAATGGGGGAGTGACTGCTAATGGGTATAGAGTTTGGGACGGGGAAAATGAAAACGTCCTAAAATTGATTGTGGGGATGTTTGTACAACCCTGTACATATACTAAAAACCATTGAATTATACACTTTAAATGGTTTAATTGTTTGGTATGTGAATTACATCTCAATAAAAAGTCAATAGAAAACGACGTACTGGTGCTGGAACGTTTGTGTCTAAAGCACACCAATTTGGGGTTCACTCTACTTTTATATTTATCACTGTATTCTACAGTGCTTAAAAAGATCGCCTATGCTGAGCTTCCTAATCTAGACAAAGGGAGTGTCTGATTGAATCACAGTATATCATTTTTCTAGCTGCCAAAAATAAATCCAAGAATTTAATTCTTTTTGGAATGTTCTTAATTATTTTTAAAGATTATAATGTGATACATAGATGTATGATTGCTAAAAACTACAAACAATATCAAATAAAAACGAGAAGTCCCTCTTAACATCTGAACCCACCCCCATCAATACCACTCTTGTTCTCAGAACTACTGTAAACAATTTGTTGTGTATCTTTTTCCAGACTTTTCCTGTATGTTTCATGTTCCTTCACATAAATGGGATAAACTCTACATATTGTTTTACAAGTTGATTTTTTCATTAGCAGCTATATTGTAGATCTTTCTAAGATCTAAGATCTTTTTATTGTTAAAAGTACTTTTTTAAAATTAATGAGCATTAAAACTAGATTTATGTATTATTTAAAAAGGCATTCCTCGGCCAGGTGTGGTGGTGGCTCATGCCTGTAATCCCAGCACTTTGGGAGGCCGAGGCGGGTGGATCACCTGAGGTCAGGGGTTCGAGACCATTCTGGTCAACACGGTGAAACCCCGTCTCTACTAAAAATACAAAAATTAGCTGGGCGTGGTGACAGGCACCTGTAACCCCAGCTACTCAGGAGGCTGAGGCAGGATAATCACTTGAACCTGGGAGGCGGAGGTTGCAGTGAGCCAAGATCATGCCATTGCACTTCAGCCTGGGCTACAAGAGCAAAACTCCATCTCAAAATAAAAAAAATAAAAATAAAGGGCCTTCCTCACCCATGTATATTTTCTTCTAGAGCTTCCAGAGATTTGTTCCTAGGAAATTCTGCCATTTTTTAACTCCTTGAAGTATTTTTTCTTTCATAAAATGACAACTTCATTTCCTATTAGGGCATGTGCCCCAAAATAGAATAAGGCTATTTTTATTAGTTAACTAGACATTGGGCAACCCTCTCAAAAATGTTAATTTCAAAACTGAAAAACACTTTTCCCAAAGCATACTCTCTCTTAATAACTAGTTCCAAGACAATGTCATGATATATTCCGTTAAAGCCTTTCACCAAGGTTCCTCAGCTTAAAATGGACCCAAACTTTCATTCTTTCAATAACAAGGGGTAAAGAGAATCATTTTACCAACAGAAGAGACAAGTTTGCAAAACAGACCTGTATTTGGTCTTGTTCATCAGCATATTCGATGGACTGGAAGATGGTGAGGGCATACTGTTGCCTGGCCTTCAGTCGAGCTCTGTAACCTCGGAACCAGTTCTGGATGATCAACACAGCTCTTAGTGCTGCAGACCCACAGAATACAAAAGTCAGAGAAAAAAGTTACTATGCAACTATTGGGAGAAGTAGGTGCTTCAGTGAAAAAAAAAAAAAAGTCCACCTGGATTCCTAGTTTCTAAGAATATTGAACACCAAACAATGAGATTGACTTTTATGTTTTTTTACAAAATGTCCTCACATCTCAAACAGTCAGAGAATAATGATGGCACAGCCATGAGGAACAGAAGTTTTGGAGTAAGACTGCCTGAACTTGAATCCTAGTTCTGCTAATTACCGTCTATGTAACTTTGGGTAAGTTACTAAAACTCTCAAAGCCTCAGTTTCCTCATCTGTAAAGTGGAAATAATAACAGCACCTACCTTTGGCATGACTTAGGCATAGTAAATCTATGAATCTATATATACCCTATGAAGTAGTAATTTCACTCTTCACTACATACCCCAAAGCAATTCACACAGTCCATCAAGGAGACATATGGGGATGCAATTGCTTCTTTGTGGCCGTAGGAAGTTTGATACCAATGAGTCTGGCTGCCCATCATGAGGAAAGAGAATCTGTACCTGTGGTGGGCACACGCCACGGAGTGGCACAACACAACTGGAAGGAATAGATGAAATAAACCCATAGCAACCTATCCAGCAGGTCTTAAAAACATAGTACTTCCATTGGAACAGTTACTAAAAAGTCAGAAGCATAATGAAATACTACCTTAATCAATCAAACTATATTGATACACACAAAACCACAACATATATTTCATAAGAACATATACAGAGGGAAAGATGCACACTACACATAATGGACCAGTTATTTTATTTATAGGGAGGTGAATGAGCATGGGGTACATGAATAAAAGGGAATAAACTAATTAACGTAAGAATGGGTCTTGCACAGACCGATGATGATAAAGTACAATGAGCTGTCGGAGAAGTATGATTCACACCACCTTCTGCACCTGAGATTCGACTGATAAAATGCAGGTGGATAAAAAAACACCCCCCCCATAGAGTTTCTATGAGGATGAAATGAGAGGTTACAAGGGAATAGTTTAGCCCAATGCCTGGTAAAAAGCACATGCTCAGTAAATAGTAACTGGAAGTACTGTCTTGTTTGTGGAGTATCCAGGCAGACTGTCTCTCTCCTGAGGCAGGTAGCCTTTGAACCATCCTGTAATTTCATCATATTGAAGAAAGAAATCAGGTGAGAGATAATGAGATTTAAAATACAGTCTCTTACGCCTCCTTGAGTTTTAGAGTGAAGAGCAATCAACACCAGCTGGCTCCTTTTATTCATGTTATCATTTCTCCCAGTTGGTGCATAAAAATTAGGAGTTGACTAAAACAGGAACAATTTGAGTTCTGAAAGCACGGATCCAGCCTCCAGTCCCAGCATCCCCTGGTTTAGTATTGCTGCAGTACACAGAATATGCCAGGATCTGGTATCTGACAAGGCTGATTTATTAGCTTCCCCAAGGCTCCTGGGTTCCAGGGACTCTTTCCATTATTCAGCTTCCAGAAAACCCCAGGAAACAGACCCAAGGTCACACATCATGAGCCTTACAGGGAAAACCACAGGAAAAAGAAATAGAGTGATGTGTTGTGGTGTTATGATATACATATGATATGATTTGGCTGTATCTCCACCCAAATCTCATCTTGAATTGTAGCCCCCATAATTCCCACGTGTTGTGGGAGGGACCCAGTGGGAGATAACTGATTTTGGGGGCGGTTTCTCCCATACTGTTCTTGTGGAAGTAAGTCTCATGAGATCTGATGGTTTTATAAGGGATTTCCCCTTTCACTTGGCTCTCATACTTTCTTGTCTGCCACCATGTAAGACATGCCTTTTGCCTTCCACCATGACTGTGAGGCCTCCCCAGCCACGTGGAACCATGAGTCCATTAAACCTCTTTTTCTTTATAAATTATCCAGTCTCAGATATGTCTTTATCAGCAGCATGAAAACAAACTAATACAAGATATATAGACTAATACATATGTGTGTGTGGTTTTCATCCATAGCCCTGATACAGTCTTTTATTATGATGTCCAGTATGTTAGGCCTCAGGGGTAGCCTCTGACCTTCTCCTGTTCCCTTTTCACCTGCCCCAAGGCTCTAATCTTCCCCTGACTTTCTGATTGTGGGCTTAAGGCTCTATGCCCTAGGAGAAGAAATACGGTTGTCTTGAAGCCTTCATAAACACCCAAGAGAACTTGGTTCAGTGAGCTTCCAGATAGCTGAACATTTGAGGTTCCGGAAAAGTGGTGTGCCCCTTCCCCCATGCCTCACCCTATACATCTCTTTATCTGTTTCCTTTACAATATCCTCTATAATAAACCAGTACAGGTAAGGAAGTGGTTCTTTGAGTTTTGTGAGCTGCTCTAGCAAAATAATGGAACCTAAAGGGGGGTCATGGGAACCCCCAACTTGAAGCTGGTCGGTCAGAAGTTCTGGAGGTCTGGGCTTGCAACTGATGTTGGGATGGGGTGGGTAGGCAGTCTTGGGGACTGAGCTCTCAACCTGTGGGATATGACACTATCTCTGGGTAGACAGTGTCAGAAACTGAACTAGAGGACACCCAGCTGGTGTCTGCTGCTTGGTGTGTGGGGAAAAGTCCCCACATATTTGGTCACAGAAGTCTTCTTTGTTGACGATCATTGTGGTGTGAGAGTGGAGGAAAATTATGGTTAGAGGAGAGAGTTTTTTCCCTACACACATGTTCAACCTTGCAAAGCAAATAACCGGCAGTGGCATGGCTGAAATCTCAAGTGTTCTCACAATATCCTTATGGAGGGTCTAGGGTCACCTGAAAGGCCTGTTCTGTGGGACAGTCGCTATCAGGATGAATCACCCTCTGGCCTCAGGGGTTCTCATACTCACAAGCACAATGGCGCCTTTCCAGTGCCACCTCCTGAGCACTTATGAAAGGCCAGGCATTGATTAGTCCTGCAGTCCTCACAGGACTGCGAAGCTGACAGAGACTGAGGAACTCACTAAAGCTCACTTAGCTGGTAACTGGAAATGGACAGTAAGGATTCAAACCCTGGTCTGACTGACTCCATAGCCCTAACTCTTAACCTCCATAGAGCACTACTGATCTGTTTCTGTGCCTCTGCTTCTTCATCTGCACAATGATGTTGTGGAATAAATGATCACTAAAGTCTCTTCTGTTTGGTATTAGCACCTGGCCAAATAAACAAGTTTGGCCAGGTGTGGTGGCTCATGCCTGTAATCTGAACACTTTGGGAGGCTGAGGTGGGCAAATCACTTGGGTCAGGAGTCTGAGAACAGCCTGGCTAACGTGGTGAAAACCCATCTTTATTAAAAATACAAAAATTAGCCAGGTGTGGTGGTACATGCTTGTAATCCCAGCTACTTGGGAGAATGAGGTGGAAGGATCACTTGAACCTAGGAGACAGAAGTTACAGGAAGCCAAGATCATGCCACTGCACTCCAGCCTGGGAAACAGAGCAAGACTCCATCTCAAAATAAATAAATAATGGAGCATATTATTATTTCTCTAATTAATAATAGAACAAAATAACCATCATATGTTAAGGGTCTATTATAAGACATTCGGTCCTCACAAGCGCCATTATCTCCATGTTACACATAAGAAAATTCTGAGTTCAGAAAGATGAGTCTCTTGCTCCAAGTCACTTGCCTAGTATGGACTCAGGTCCCCTGGCTCTCTCCAGTCTAGTCAGTTACTTCATTCCCTAATCTATTTACACTTTCTTTCCTTTGAATAATAATGGCCACCATTTCTTTCTTTCTTTCCTTTTTTTTTGAGACAGAGCCTGGCTCTGTCACCCAGGCTGGAGTACAGTGGCGAGATCTCGGCTCACTGCAACCTCCACCTCCTGGGTTCAGGCAATTCTCTGCCTCACCCTTCCAAGCAGCTGGGACTACAGGTGACTGCCACCACGCCCAGCTAATTTTTGTATTTTTAGTAGAGATGGGGTTTCACCATCTTGGCTAGGCTGATCTTGAACTCCTGACCTTGTGATCCACCTGCCTCAGCCTCCCAAAGTGCTGGGATTACAGGAGTGAGCCACCAGCCAGCCAGCCACCATTTCTTGAATGCCTACTAAGTGGCTTGCACTAGCTGGACACCTGACATCTACTACCACTTTTCCTACTGCCTGATGTGGGGAAGGGGCAAGCTAGGCCCCCTCCCATCTCTGCCTGGCTTCCATCCCCACCCCATTCTCCAAGGGAGGAGCTGCTGTTTTGTTTGGTTAACATACAGTACGTTCATTGGGTCCCACTAGCGGGTGTGGAAGCTGTGCTGTAGGAGGTTATAAACATCCACAGTCCCCTCTGTCTTCTACTTCCTCTCCTACTCCAAAGTCAGGAAGTGGAACTGCCCCACCCCACCCCAGCGTGGGAAGCAGCCGTCTCTGTCTATGCTCATATGCCTGTACCTGAGCACACATGCCACTTATTAAGCTATCATGTCTCAACTCTAACCCCACCCTTCCCCAGTCAGCACAGTGGTGCTGAGGCTGGGACTTTGCAGACCCCATTTCAGCTTCGTCAGTTGCCCCCTGTGAGGCTCTGCCAATAGGGGTGGGAAAGGCAGACTGCAAGGCTGGAGGAGGGACAAGGGACACACTCCTTCCTGTCTGCTTCCTGTTCCTGATAGTGTAACCTAGCAACTGCTCTTCACCCAGGGAGCACTCATTGGATCCAGTTTGCAGTTCATCCAGCACTTGCAAAGCCAGTCTCATGGCAGCCCTGGAGACATCAGCACTGGCTGAGTGTACCACTTCTCAAAGGTCTGAGCTTCAGTTCTGTGGGACCCTCCTGCAAGTTTCTAAACTGGAATAATTCCACTCTATTCCCTTTGTTCTCTCAGCTCTAGGGTGGTAACTTCCCTGCAGTTGCTGTAATTCTTTACATTCAATTCTCTCTGTTCAAATCACTCTTATGGTTTCTGCCTCCTGACTAGACCCTGCCTGATGAGTTCATCTTGGAGGGGTGGGAAAAATAGGTCCTGCTAA